AGGGCCAGTTCTGAACAAAAATGCTGTGAACAAAAATGCTGTGAACAAAAATGCTGTGATCTGAACAAAACACACAATCAGCTACCTGCAAGAGGCTGGGAAGAGACACAATTCACTATAAACACTCCAGAGAGATACACCAAGAGACAGAATCTTTTGAAACTGCTAGATAAATTTGTACTAACATTAGTTCATTTAAACTGCATCTGAATATATTTAGACTAAAATTTAAAATAAGGTTCAGAACTATATATGACCACTGAGCTTCTTGAAACAGCATGTTTGTTACTTAGAAAGGATTCATCTTAATCAAATTCCTCCTCTTATCTTTCTACTCCTTATCAGTGAGTTAAATCATCTTCATATTTTAATGCTGTGTAGATTCTTCTTTCATACATGATATGCAAGTATCTTCAAACCATTTAAAGAGTACTGATGGATTTGTTGCATCTAAATTGTGGGACAGAACTTCCTTGATTCAGTAGAAGGATTTCACTAATGGTCTTTGCTTTCTTTTACATTTGCAAACAGTATATAGGATTTTGTTTCCCCACATTTCATTGAACTTTGTATTTGTAAAGATATAGCTGGCTATAAATATATTTGATTGGCTATAAGTCTCAATAAAATGCTATTTATAGTTGCTTAGTTTTTTGGGGGAAACTTTCTTAGAAGTGACGCTCTATTGCCAAGGACAAAATTATTGTAAGAAGTGCAAAAGGCCTATTATTCAAGCTGGACTTTTAACTGATGGTAGAGGCACCTAGGTTCTTTGAAAAAATAGCTGGTTTGGAAGTTGTTGAGTGTTGACATTTTGAAAAAATCTGACTTTGGCACTTGTGCTTGAAAAGTATTCAGGTAGTTTAGGTGGGAGCAGTTCCAGGCACATGAAGGTAATTAGTTTCAGGTTTTTCAACTGATACGATTCATGTCTTTCAAATATTTATGTCATTTATTGTATCAAGGACAGAATGCTGAGCTGTAAAGATTATTAGGACTCCAAGAAATTTTTCAGCTAAAAAGGTCAAATAGTCAGTTACAAAACTTTGTGAAGAAAGGATCTGGTAGGCTCAACATATATGCTAAAATATATTATGAAAGATCAACATTCAGGTTTCTGTTCTACTGGTTTCACTGGGTTTTTTTTTTGTATTGTGATTTAACACTATATTAATGTTAAAATATTTTCCCTGCCTCAGTTGCAAATTGCTATGCACAGTATGTCATTCTTCTCCTTTGCATTTTCCCATATCTATTTTTTCAAGATAACTGTATTTAACCCATTCTATTATGGGCCCTATATAACTGATGCCATACTCTTCACCTTTTGCTGGAGGAGACCAGTAGCAGAATTTTGCTACATACAGAGATCCCATGAATAAAATTATATCTGAAACAGCAAGATTCAGATACTACTGGGTGGTGGTTTGCATTAAAATATGTGGAATGTTACTTTGAAACTTTGAAATCCACTTAGCTGTTACCTATTTCAGCAATTTTGTAGCATGTATGGGCATTTTCATTTCAGTGATGAATATCAAACGTGTATAAATTACTGAAATTATGGCAGTGCAATATATAAATCTCATTAATATACATAGCCATTTTAGGAGAAACAACTCAATATTCATTTTAAAACATATATAGTTGTAGAGTGGTCAACAACACAGTACTTACTCCATTCAATAGCATTGAAAAGACCAGGAACACGTATTTGTAACAGTTATGGCGCATCCCTTTAGATGTGCACACGTCTTTACTAAATAGTTCTTCCTGGAAAATCAAGTGCTACATGCAGGAGCAAGGATGGAAAGGTAATTAGAAATTAAAAAGCAGGGGGTTAGCAGTTTTTGTGTTTGAATGTAGTCTGGTGCTTCTCACATGACATACAAAAAGCCAGAAATAAAAGAGAAAAAAAAAAGGAAGTCAATCTTGAGGGGGCTTACTGTGGCTCTGAAAGTTTTTTACACAAATGTAATAAACACCAGAGATGTTCTTATAAATGTGGGATTAAGACATCTATTTTCTGAAAAAACCAAAGCAAACAAGGGGAAAAAAACCCCAAAAAAGTAGCAAAAATCCCACACCAAAACAAAAGAGCAAGCAAATCAAAATTTTAAGTCTAGAGGGGAAAAGATAGAGGATGCAGTGTAATGAGAAGAGTCATTAGAAAGAAATTGTTTTTTTCACATATGAAAATGTAGTTTCAAATGTGGATAGGTTACAGCCATTTTAAATATGATTAAAATATCATTTTTAAACAAGATTTAACTTTACTAACAGTTTTGTCCATTCAGATCTAAAATTATACTTAGAAAAATCAAAAAGCTACTGAATTATCATATTTTAAGGGGTTCAAAACACTAATTTTAAAATCTTTTTTACATCTTTTATGTTTTCCAGAAAATATTTCAGTTCTCTTAAAACTATTTGCATTTTTGTAATGCATAAAACAGTCCCAGGAATAAAACCCAGTATAATTACATTAAAGTGAAAGATACCATTATTTCCAACCACTATTGATATCTATGGTCTGATATTGATATTTGATATCTGTACCTACAAAGAAAATACTCTCCAATATTAATTTAGACAAATTCCTGGTTTACTACATAAAATTAACAAGACCATATTAATCTTGCTCTCTTTGTGTCTTCATTTCAGCACTTTTTTTTTGCAATTGTCATGTGGCACATCACAGTCGCAACTAATCTGGAATACCCACAGTATTGCCAGTAACATGTAGCAGGCTGACAATATGAACTTGCTTTTCTGAGGAATTGAAAAAGTAATTATTTCTTGTTCTGAGTTAATGAGAGATACCAGTTCCTGAACAAGAGAGCAAGTTAAAAGTTTTGTGGTAACGCTAGGTGTGAACAGAACGTCAATAAAGGAGTAGTAGAACAGTGAATGATATAGAAAATGAGCCAAAATCACGCACTGAGAAACATTAGGAAAATACTGATTAAAGAGCTAGTGATAGTATACTACCTACTTACAGGCTCAGATATTTAGATATGAGAAGGGACCTTGGTATTATATTCAATGATTAAAAACTTTTGGGAATTGGGGAAGGCTTTTCACTTCTTCATAGATTTTTGAAGAAAAGGATGCTAATATTCATCTGTGCCTATTATTCTACATATTACTAATTTGAAAACACTTTGAGACATGCCAGTGATAAGCAGTACTTTCCTATTAGTTTTATTTTTTCTTTTTCCGTAAAAGTCTCATGTGAAAGCATAAATCTTTTTAAAGAAAATAGCTTGCTAGTGCAGGAGAAAGCCCCCATTCAAATAACAGCACTAATGAAAGGCAGCAGTGGAAATTGCTGCCCAAGCAATTTCCTTGAAGCTCGGATTTTCTCTATTTCAAGGTCATTCTGGCATAAAAATCTTCTGCAGCTTGCTTGCAATATACATCAGAATAAATGTATTTCTTTTATTAGCAAGGATTGTTAGTTATTAGCGTTACTTAAGCATATTTGTGTGTGAATAAGATTGTGTGGGGGAGCAGCCTCTATCCTGGGGGCCATAGTGATGATGTCTGATGCTAACACACAATGTATGGATAAATTTCTTCATATCAGATCAGAAACCAATGTCAAGCATGCAAATTTAAATCACACACCTAAAAGATGTGGGTGAAGAATTGTTACTGCAGAGGGGCAAAATGGCTGTGCAGGGGTTAAATCACCCTAACATATTCATTATTAAATAATCCCATGCAAAATTACTTTCCTTGTATTTTTGGAATGTATGTTGTACACATGGCCTCATCTAATCTTTTGCCACTTTGCAAAGCAAAAGCTAATTTCAATTCCAGAAGATAGAGCAGTCTTCAATTATGTAAGTTAAAGGATAGATGCTGCAGTTCACAAAAGAGGGCATGTACATTATACATTTGCTTAATTGTTCTACAGGGATGCCAATCCTAATTAGGACTTCATTGGTTTTTTCGTTGGAAACAGTTTAGATTCCCTAATTAAGCATGAAATAACTAATGAAAATAAATTAAGATGGTTTACATCTGTGAATCAAGTTTCTGCCAAGTTTTAACTCACCTTTCAGCCTGAGAAGGGATCTTTCTCTGCCTCAGTGCCTTGTCCCTTTCAGAAACCAGGATGGGGGCTCTGAGGAGCAAAAATCTTGTTCTGGTGGGTTGGTCCATTTGCACTTTAGACAACTTGTCCTTTTTGTGGGTCTTGGATTATTATGTAGTTTAGTACACTACGAGTATGTTGATTTGGGACTTCATCTTCTGAAAATTATGCTATTAAAAAAAAAAAAAAAAAAAAAACAAAAAAAGGTAAATCCCCAGAATATAGGACAAAGGAGTAGTAAAAACTAAGAAACCAAATGTACAGGGTAAATGAAGTGAGCTCTTCTTGGTCTCCTGGATCCTGGTATCTTTTTCTTCCCTCATTTTCTGTTTCCTGATCCCACACATATTTTTCTAGTTTACCTTTTTCTTCTCTTCATCCCTTCTGAGGAATGTTTTCTATTTCATTATCTCCACAGGTTTTAACTTCATAAGCATACACAACATTAATATGTTGCTTAGCAATATAGCACAGCTAGCTTCTAAAATTTCACAACTTCACCTCTCCCCGAATGCAGTGCTACAGGCTAAACACTGTGTACAGCTTTCCTGTCTACAGGACGAGCTAAAAATTGTGTTGGTGTATTTTTGCAACTCCTGTACAGCTGGGGATTTAGGAAACATATGAGAAGTATGAGGGTTTGGCTTATATATTCATATGGATATTAGCATTGCTGCCAAAGGTAGTTTCTGTAATTTGTAAATATGCTGTCATGTGAGTAATATTACAATAATTAATATTTGTGTGAGAGTTTTCTGATATATGAAAAAATTGTTACCTTTAAAAAATATGTAGAGCTTAAGTGGACACATGAATGAATTTGTATTTTGTAGGTGCTTTTAGATAGCAAGAATTTGAGGCTTTTTTCTAATTCTCCTTCCTTTTTTTATCCTGACAGTACAAGCAAGTGGAACAGTACATGTCATTCCACAAGTTACCTGCTGAAATGCGCCAGAAGATCCATGATTACTATGAGCATCGCTACCAAGGCAAGATCTTTGATGAAGAAAATATTTTGAATGAGCTCAATGATCCTCTAAGGGAGGTAAGATTAAAGTATTTGAATAGCTCTTCATGCTAGGAAAAAACTTCTTGTCTTTGCTGTTTCTGCATTGAAATGCTCTTTACCTTCTATAGCATTTCAGCTTCTTTACCATAGTCAATGGATGACCAGGATAATTAAATTTATACTAAGTTGACGCAAAGAAATAAGAAGATCTACACTATATTCAGGACCAGTCAATCACTGCCACATGAGGATGTCAAAGGATAAAATCTGCCAAAGAGTAAAACCACACCCTTATTGTTGACTGAAATTCACGCTTTTCTGCCACTTTTTAAAACAGAGATCAGATGGACTAAAATGATCCTGGGTGAAATTCTTTTTCTACTCTCCCTACTTGTTAGCCATACATCTCTACAGATAAAACCACTGAGAGTCACCACAAAGGGAGGGTTGCTTTTTTTCATTTTCTAAAGTAGCATTGTTTGTAAAGGCGGTCTCTACTTGAGATGAGGAAGCTGGAATATTATATATCAAAGCCATTAAAAAATCTCTTTTTTAGGGGTTATGCTTTGCTATGTTAAGTGATGTGATGTGTGGAAGCAGTTGGAATTTTCTCTGCTGATGTGGGATCTTGCAGCAGCAGAAATAGCTCCTTAATGGGAATAGAAATCAGATGGTCTTCTGTTGGCTTGTGCTCATGCCTGACCTGGTCGAGGGTGTTGGCTGATATCCTCTACTGAAAGAAGAGGAAAAAATCCCAGAGAAGAAGAAGTTGAAAATCTCAGAGGGAAGAGAGTGTAAAAAGAAAAAGAGAGCGAAAGAGAAAAAGAAACAAGAAAATGAGAAAAAGAAACAAGAAAATTAAGGGTGGAACAGTCTAGTATGTGAAACTTGTGCAATTTTCAGTGCTTCTAATATCCTCTGCTTTTGGAGGAGTGGTGCTGATTATGTGTCCATACATGTGTGTATATATGGCTGTGTATATTATATATATAAGGGTTTTTTTCAAGTTTTGAGGGATAAAGAGAGAATCTTTGGTGGATTTTCTGTACTACTGAATCCTGCACTTTGTTGGGAGGGGAGAATGCCATACAATCCATTGCCAAATTCAATCAAGTTCCATATTTTAAATAGTCATAAAGAAACAAAGCCTTGCCAAGTCACAGTTCATCCACACCTCTGTTGTGAAAGTCTCATAGTAGCCTCCCTCCTACAAACTGCCAAGTGGTAATGGTGAGTGCTGCCCAAAATTGCTGGTCTTTGCTAGATGCTTAAAGTCAAAATCAGGCCAACCATGGTTGTTCTAACAATTTAATAACCCATGACTAAGTTCCAGATCCTTGACCTACTTAATTCCCTCACACAGGTGTAGACTGAGGCCTTCCTTTATATTTTGAATTAGTGTTTTGGAGTGCAGATAGAGGGCCTTGGCTTCTGCAGGGAGGCCTGTTTACACTGTGCCCCCCCTCAGTAGCTTTCGAAATGCCAAGAGGAGAATGTACTGCAGGAATCTGCCTTGTGGGACAGGAGAAGTGTGGGAACCATCACTAGACTACAGTGAGAGTAAAAACATGAATCTTGGCCAGTATGGAGCTTGTGTTTTGTTAAGAGAACAGAAGTATGTACAGACACTGACAGCAGAAACAGTTTCATCTGTTTCTAGTTCTAAGAAAAGCATTTATCCAAAAGTAAAGCCTGATACCCTTCCATTGTAAAATACTATTTTACTATCAGCAATTTGCAATTGTGGCACCCTAATTACTTGTGTTTTCAGCTTTTCCTGCCTCCCTTTTTGTTTCCTTCCTTCCACTCTCCCTCCCCTAGCCCTGTCCCCTTCCCCTCCTTTTTTTCTAACAGCTTAGAAGCAGAAAGGCAAATTTGGTCAACCATAAAAAACAAAAAGCACTTCTGGTGAGAAATCAAGCATGTAAAATTTCAAAAATTAATGAGCCCCTAAAAACATGAAAGAATAATAGAATTTCATGGAAGGAGTGGCTTCTGATTTTGCTATGGTTATGCTGTACTTAGCTGGTCTTCTTTGTCCTCTCTATTATATAACAAAAAAATCAGGTACAATCAGGTTGCACATTGCCCTACTGACAACACAGTGGAGTTCCAGAGAAAGGTCAAAAAAAAGAAAGAGAAAAAATAGTAACTGGCCACTGGCAGTGCCAGAACAGGTTTCTCAATGAATCTGTCCAAATTTTCAATGCAGCTTATCGACTGTGGCTTGAAAACATCACTTAGGTATTTTGCTTAGTTAATAGTTTCAAATTCTGTTTTAGCTACCACTTCAGTACGTGCAGCTTAGTAGTGCAGGTGGTGTCTTTTTGATGCAAATAATGGATAATAAATTGGAGGCTTTTAAAGGTAGAACACAGTTGTTCATATATTGGATGGGCTTTACCATGTTACATGCCATTAGCTGCACAAGGCCATAATAGGTAATAGCAAAAATACCCTGGCTGTATCATTGAAAACTAAATATTTAGTGCATTTCTTAAGTTTGTAATTAATCCTACATTTGACTGTACTTTGAATTGAGAGTAAACATTCAGAGTCTCCATAGGACCTACTTAGCTTGATGAAAGTAGCTTCTGATGAAGATATTAATCTGAAACCATTAGTTCCTCACTTGGAGTAAGCAGAACAAAAGAAACTATACTAACTGCTGAGTAATTATAGCATCGTGAAATGTTATGAAAAAATTGCAGGGTTTTCACTAATTCTTGTTCTCAGCCATTCAAACCTATTGTAAGGGCTGAAATTTTCCACAGCTATGCTTTCTTTAAGAGTGATGACCTTCTTTTTGGTCCATGTTTTAAAATTTTGGGGTTTTTTTTAGCAAGAAAGTAATTATGCATGATATAAATATGATCATTCAACCATTAAAAATGGTTGAATGATCATATTGGTATAATGGTATATTAAAAATAGCTAAAGTACATAGAATTAGCTGCAAAAATCTAGTGTAAAAATAATTCTTACATGATCAATGCTAGTAATAAAGCTGTATGTGCTTATAGAATCATACAATCATCGAATAATATAATCATAGAGTATGCTGAGTTGGAAGGGACTCATCAGGGTCATGGAATCCAACCCCTGGCCCTGCACAGCACCATCCCCAGGAGTCACACCCTATGCCTGAGAGTGTCCAAACACTTCTTGAGCTCTGTCAGGCTGGTGCTGTGACCACTGCCCTGGGGAGCTGTTCCAGTGCCCAAACACCCTCTGGGTAAAAAATCTTTTTTAATAGCCAATCTTTTTCTAACCCTCCCCTGGCGCAACTTCAGGCCATTCCCTTGGATCCTGTCACTGGGCACACAGAGCAGAGATCAGGGCCTGCCCCTTCTATTCCCTTCTCAAGGAGGTTGTAACTGCAGTGGGGTCTCCCCTCAGTCTCCCCCAGGCTGAACAGACCAGGTGACTTCAGCTGCTTCTGTTCAGCTTCCCCTCAAGGCCCTTCACCATCCTTGTTACCCTCCTCTAATAGTTCAATGTCATTTTATACTCTGGCACCCAAAACAGCACACAGGACTCAAGGTGAGCAGGACAATCATCTGCCTTGATAGCAGAGGTTAAGACTTTGTAAAAGAGGATGAATGTTCATTTTAATGAGCTTGTGAACAATATGCATGGAGCAATATGCATGATGGATTGGATGATTAAAATAATGAAAATCTGAGAAAAGATTTGATGCATGTGTGTGAGTGCCTAGCTTGGTTGGATAATAGAAATAGAGTCATGCTTACTGTGGGCAATTAACAAGGCTTCATTAAAAAAAAGGGAAAAGGAATCCTGAACCTTTTTAAACTGTACAAGGCTCTGTGTAAGTACTTCAAAGCTGAGTAAAGCAACTGGTTCCTGACCTGTATCCTTCAAGGATAATCTAGTATTATCAAAGAGATTGCATTCAATGGCTGGGAACTAAGACTACATTTATGAAACTGAAATGCTCTATATTCTCCCCTGTTTAGTTAATGGCACAATTTGGGTGTATTAGTCCACCAGTAATGTAATTAATTGGATACTCTCAGGTCTGCACACTCAAACTGAATTAACCATAAATTGCAATATGCCATGTGCATATCTGCTTGTAAGGATACATGCTCTCTGACAAAAGTAAACTATAAAGGTTTCTTTTTGTTAAATTCAGAAATTTCACTTGAACTGAAAGCATATCCCCATTTCCATGGACAGATTTATCTGATAATAAGCATTTACTCTTCTCAAGAACAGGATAATCAAGAGACTCCTGGAAGTTACAATTTTGGTAGAGATGACAGATTTTAAATTTCTTCTTCGATGCCATGCAGTGTTGGATTCATCCAACCTATCTGTCACTCCATACAAGTTCTGCAACAAGTCTAAGATAATAATCAGGCTCTCTCTGCACACACCACCCACACACACATGCTCTCACAGTAAAGAAAACATAGCTGACTAGCTTAGAAAAAAGACTGCATTTTCTAACAGCAATTGACATGTGAAATAAATTCTGTCTTTAATAGCAATTGCAGTTAACTGTCTCTCTCCCTCATTTCTTGAGTCAGTAAGTAGAAACAATTAGCTTATTGTCCTTATATAAATATCATCTCTAGCTCTTCAGCAGGCTGAGTTATCAAACTTCACATTTTTTAAACTTGTAATTCTTACCTTCTACAAGGTTTGAATATCCTTTGGCCTCAGGAGATCTTAATCCCAAAGTGTTCTTTGTAATTGTCATTACATGAAATGGAGACCCTACAGACAAGAAGCTAAAAAACCCAAATGCTCCTAAGAGAAATATATTCCAGAAGAACACCTGAGTTATAAAAGTTGAAATACATATACACTGCTAGTTCCATCTTGTAACTGAGTATAAGTCAAAGTGACTCAGCTCTGGCCTTTGTTTAAGCCATCAGTCTTGCCAGCAGTGGCAGTGGGTGCATGCCCATGAAAGAACAAGAACAGGGAAAGTGTGGTGTGTCCCTTAGTGACTCTCCTAGACTCTCTGTATTTTCAGGTAGAGGGTTTCAGTATTTTCAGGTTCAGTA